GTCATTTTGGTTTAACTGTTGCAATACAAATTGACCACCTATCTAATTTTATTTCTGGGACACATGTTTTCAAAAGCTATAAAGTATATACATGCTCAAAAATTATGTTAAAATTGAGGAACATATTAGTCTTTGTAGAAATTAGCTTGATGTGTTAAGAGTCCTTTTAGATATTTTCCCATATACTTACAGTCTTACATTTGTAGATAACTTAAAGGCATATATAACGTATATATGTATGTATATTTTTTTACTTTCTAATAAGGAATTATTTTTTTATTGGAGCTACAGATACGTAGAGATAAGGAGATAGAGAAAGATCTTCTGTTTGCTGCTTCACTCCCCAAGTAGCTGCAGTGGAGTGAAGCTGAGCTGATCCGAAGCCAGGAGCCAGGAGCTTCTGGGTCTCTCATGGCAGTGTAAGGTCACCTTGGGTCATCTTCTGCTGCTCTCCTAGGCCACAACCTGGGAACTGGATAGGAGGTGGAGCAGCCAGGACCGGAAATGTGCCCATACTGTGTCCTGTGCTTGTAAGACAAGGATTTAGCTATGGGCCTATAGCACCAGCCCTGGAGATCGGGATTGCGGGCCGATCTTTCATATTCAGTAAACAACAAAGAAAGTAATACAGTAACATGTGCTTCTCAGGAATGCAGAAGAAAAGTGTAGGCAGTTGATGTTAACCTTTTGTGAAGAACTTCCAGAACTTTCCTCTGCAGACAGACAAGCATATGCACTCGAGGATATTGCCTGCCTACACACGACCACATGCATGTATGCATGTTGGCATGTTTATGGTCTGATGTCATTTTCACTGTTACTGTTTTTATTAAGTTGGGGAAACTTCCTTGGAATCTGTGATGTCGTGACTAATACTTGTCCTTAATGACTTACTGAGGAATAATTCAGTTAATAGGTCAACTTTCATCATCTCCTTTTTAAAAAATTTTGTTTTAGAAAATTTCAGCTGAAGTCTACCCTCCTAACTAATGCAAGGATATTTTATAAAATCGACAGAAAATAAGATTAACAGATGCTTATTTTGGCTCAAAAGATTGAAATGCATGCGTATGAAGAATCCATAAAAACAGGTATGAAAAATGTACATTATGAAAAAACTATCAATTTAAAAACCTCTGTTAAGACTTATTCTTATTTGAAAGATTTAGGTCGAGTGAGATAGAGGACAAGATTTTCCAACTGCCAGTGGCTGGGCCAGGGTGAAGCCAGGACCCTGGATCCTCCATCCAGGCCTTCCATGCGGCTATCTCAGCCCTTGAAGTACTTGGCCATCTTCTACTGCTGTCCCAGGCACATTAGCAGCAAGCTGGATAGGGAGTGGAGCAGCTAAGACTCAAATTGGAACTTCAATGTAATACTAGCGTTGGAGGTGACAGATTAGCCCTCTGTGCCACAAGCCTAGACCTTCATTTAGAAACCTCATCTTCCCTAAACCGTTGGGAGACATTTCAGATGGGTTCAAGTTTGGCCAGCATTGTGTGGCTCTTCCAAGCAATTCTGGGTGCGCTAGCTGCATGCTGACTGCATCATGGGGCCGTACTGCCGAAATACTTTATCAAGTACAAAGTCAACGGGCAGCTCGCACTGAACAACGAAAAGGCTGATATAGTCACCCTTGGGAAACAGTACTCGGTATTTCCCAGTGAACTCCTTGGTTGCATGATGTGGAATGCGTTTCTTCATACTTCCCTACGGTATTTACCCGGATCTCTAAAGATCGTGAACCATTTTTGGTTTTGGTCAACACTGCGGAATGTCTTTCAGGCTGATTTTTGGTGATTGAGTCTTTTGCTCATTTGCTCAAGATTGAGCAGCATTTAAGACGTGAGAAACCTTTCTAGCCAGTCCTTACAACTAAACATTGTGCTATTTCATGATGTGGTAGCTAAGCTTTTCTTCTAAGTGAAATGGGGGTAGTCTTCAGGCCTGGCTAGAAGTATTGATGAGTCAGAATAGACCACAACTCAGTTGGAGCTGGGTAACAGTGTTTGTTCATTTTTCTGTCCTCTTTATTTTTGTGTGTTTGAGATTTCCTGTAGGCAAGTTTTTTCTTTTTAAAGATTTATTTCTTTTTATTGGAAAGTGAGATTTACAGAGAGAAGAAGAGACAGAAAGATCTTCCACCTGTTTGTTCACTCCCAAAGTGGCCACAACAGCCAGAGCTGAGGTGATCTGAAGCCAAGAGACAGGAATTTCTGCACCATCTTCTGTTGCTTTCCCAGGCCACTGGCAAGGAGCTGGATGGGAAGTGGAACAGCTGGGAAAGGAACTGGAGGCCCATGTGGGATCCTGGCACACGCAAGAATCATAGGCTACTGCGCTGGGCCCTCTGTAAACAAATTTGAAACAAGGGAAAGATAATCATTATAGCCTGAAATGCAATGATATTTTAGCCTGAAAGCAAAAGGTAAAGTTTGAAATATATTGCCCGATGTACTAGTTGAGTAAGCTTTGTTTAAAAAAAAAAAAGCCACAAAATGATCCTTATGGATGTTAGCATGAACACAAGGCCCCATGCCATTAAGAGAGTATCTATCCCCTTGGGATTCAGTGTGGTGAGCTTTCATTTCCAGTGCTGGCGGCAACTGGGCCTCCAAACGCAGTGGTGCGCTTGCACAAGGTGCCTGTGACCACTCACTGAGCGATTGGGTCGTGGGAGGCTGACTTCATTCCTGATCTGTGCTATGGCCAGTGATGCGGTCGTAACCCATCTCCTGCTCCGCGGAAGCCCAAGCAGCTCGTGCGGTCCTCCCGCTGCCACCCACACATGGGCGTTCCAGCTGAGGAAGCTTTCCCACCCACCTAGTCACTTCTAGTCTTTGGGGCTGCGCTCACCACGGAGCCCAGACGAGTCTTCCCTGCTGCCCCCTGTCGGAATCTCTGAGCATCACACCATGCTCCTTGGTCAATGCCCCTAGCATCTGATGATTGGTTATGCAGCATTCATAACTGAAACAGCGCGTTAGTGAGGGAGGCGAGGATCTTAACTTTGCAGTGACCCTTTCTTTCCATGATGTGTCCCACAGATTTGCGTGTACTCAGTGACAGTCTTCTGATGGCTTTCATGGGCTTCACTGTCGCCCTCAGCCTGGCGACCCCAAACCTGGAGTCATGTTGGAGGCTGTCGGTTGTTTTCTGAAGGCAGCCAGATGTGTTCACCTTGACCTCTGTGAGGACTCCCTCCATTGAGCTGGACTTCCGGAATCTGCCCCTTTCCCTCCGTGACACCCGGTGCAGTTGGGGGACAGAGCAGGGATCCACCTGATCCAGAGCCCGGACAAAACTGGGGTGGCATGGAGCCTTTGAAGTCTGAATCAATCATTGCTTCATTTAGTGTGGAAATTGTATCCTGTGTGGCTGCATGCTTCGCTGCCACTCCTGTCTGCCTCTTCCACACCTTTTCATTCTGTGTTGTGCTTTGAAAACACATCTAATTATTGTTTCACTAATAAACTGCTGTTAAGCACTTCTTTATATGTGAGCATGTACCTATTAAGATTTGCTTGGTATTGTATACGTAAGAGATTTTATCCAAGTATATAAATTAAAACATCTACTAGCTTTAATTCTGTTTGTGTTCCGTATCTCAGACTGAGTGGTGGCCCCACCAGCATTTGCTGTAACTGTATTTGTGCACCTGGAATATTCCCAGTATTCACAGTTGGATGACATAAAGTTTGTCCCTATTACTTTATAACACTCACGAATGTCTAGTGATGGAATTTGACCTATTCTTTATATTTTGTCTCCAATTATCACTACTTCCTAAACTTAGTAGGATATGTTGTGTAATGCTTTTACTTTAGAATATGATTGCTCTAAAAAATGTCTCTACATCATAACTGTAGCTTCTTTGCTTGAGGGACATAATTAATAGGACACGCTTTCAAACAATTACCGTGCTATAATAAAAAAAAATATCCATGGCACATATCACAGTACAAGATCTTTGGCTTAACATCAGTAAACCATTCCTCAAATGAACCATCTGCAGGAAAGCATTACCTGCCAGCGTTATTTAATGACACACTTTAATTCATGATGTATCCTATTGCACCCGCAGCAAATTCCTGAAAGTGGCTAAAACACAATGAAATGCTAATTAAAGTACCAAAGTAACATGCTAACGTGAAGTGTTGCTGGCCACCATGTGTTTGTTATGGCTGACATACAACTGACTTATTTGTGAGACCAGGTGTCTTTAAAGCAAACAAACAAAAAATAAGAAGGGTTTGTTTATTTGAAAGACAGGATGACCAAAAGAGACACACACACACACCCATCTCATCTGCTAGTTCATTTCCCAAATGACTGCAGCAGCCAAGCCCCGGACAGGCAGGTACAGGAGCCAGGGTTCCAGTACGATTTCCATCCTGTTTCCAATATGGAGGACAGGGACCCAGGCACCTGGATTGTCTTCTGCTGCCTTCCCAGATACAAGGAGGTGCATCAGAAAGTGTAGCTGGGACTCGAACTGGCACTCTGACATGGGGTGTTGGTGACACAGCCATTCAGATAGCTTGTCCACAGTCCTTGTGTTCTCACACTTACTTATTCTGACAGCTCTTCTTCCATTGGCACACACATCTGAGCACGTTAGAACTTCCGACAGGGAACGCCACTGTCAGGGAATAGTCAGCCAGACTCCAGTGGGTTGCAGTCAGTCCAGTGTCCTAATGATGGGGAAACTGAGTCCAGAGAACTATTTTAACTGTGAGTACTTGTCATTGGAATATTTTCTTCTGCAATGAAATCAGCTGTCTCGTGCAGGGAAGTTTGGAAAATAGTTTAATTTTATGAGACCTGAGTTTCTTCATTTTCCCAGAAAAATCTCTGTCTGCCGTCTCCTCCCACGAGCCAGCCTAGCTGCTCATAGGCCCCCACCCCAGCCCCCCAGGCTCTGCTTTCACGTTTGTGTGTCTTTTCTGCTGTGTGCCACGCTTTGGAGTGTCATTAAGCCCGCATCTGTTCTGTTTTAGGAGAAACCCGATGCCAGTCCCACGTCACTTCAGCTGCGCTCCCAGATCGAAGTAAGCACCATCTCTCTCCTCTATTTTTGCATCTGCCTGTCTTTCTTTTTTTTTAAGTGGTATTTTGTACAAATCCCACGAAGCCCGTCGCTCAGCCTGCACTGACACTTCTCTCTGCATCTTCTCTCGTAGGAATCACTCGGCTTCTCTAGTGCCGTGTCAACACCCGAAGTGGAAAGAAAGTAAGTCCCCTTCCCTCTGGCCAGCACCCGTGTGGTCAAAGGTGCCAGGCCGGTCCACGCGGATGGAATTCAAACCGGGGATCCTGTGCGTAGGTGCTGTGGAGTGTGTGATGTCATTTTCCCGCGTGGGCTGCGTGTGTGTGTGTGTGTGTGTGTGTCTGTGTGTGTGTGTGTGTTTCTAGGTGGGTAACAGAGTGTGTCATGCAATGCAGTTGATAATGCCTAGAGCTTCAGTAAATCATTCTTGATCTCTCACCATGTATTATAAAGGAACCCAAAGTAAATAGCCGGGAGCGAATCTAGAGAGAAGGACCCGGTGGGCACCTTGACCGAGGTTGGCTTTCATGCTTCCTGTTAATTATTGCTGGGAAAGAAAGTCATAAGAAGCTAAGACACAAAAATAAAATACATTTCTGGCGAAAACAGTGATCCAAAAACCTTCCCCGACACCACATTTTGGTCAGTGACCCTAAAACAAGGATAAATGCATGTGTCAGGAGCTGGAAAATGCGCCCTGCTTTTCCTGTGAAGAAAGTCTTTCTGCTCACCTGCCCAAACTTAGGCCCTGTAATTTGTGCTCTCATGGAAGATAATTCTATGCCTTATCTGGTGTTTCCAGAATTTCTTTTAGGTAATTCCCCTGCCTACCAGTTCCCAAAATAAGAACAAAACAGTTCCTTGTTTGCCCTACCACCCTACGCATTTCTACTTTATTCCACTCCAGTCATGCTAGAATGTTCTATTTGTGATCGGCTGAGGTGAAGAAATTTAAAGAAAGTCTACCTCTCTCTGAACAGCCACTTCCTCTGGCCCAGAGTCCCTGGCAGTGTTCCCTGCCAAGAAAGGCAGAGGCGTGGCTCAGGAATGAGGTATTTCTGGAATGCGCAGCACACGTTGTGAGAGCGTGTGTGCGCCTCACGGGCAGCTCTCCTAATCCATGCACGTGTGTGTGCGCGCGTGCAGTGGGCACGGAGCCTGCTCGGCCAGTCCTGCCTCTCTGTCTGGTCTGCGGCAGCCCAGGAAAACCCAGGCTGTCGCCGCCTCACGATCAGAGGCAGAAGTGCACACCCGGGGATTCCCATTCCACTCAGAACTGTAGGAAACGTGGAGGTGGAGAGAGGTGAAGGGTTGAGGTTGACTTTGAACTTGGAGGTTCTGTGGCGGTGGTGAGACACCCTGAGTGAATGAGCTGTGGCTTCCTCTGAGCTGGTTTCCCTGGGCAGGGAGTGTGATTCAGGCCGAGAGCTCAGGTACGTTCCAGCTTCCTGTGATGCCTTCAGGAAACCAGAAATGCCTGGCCTTCCTCCTCACAGGAAGTGACTCATGAGATTTGTACAGGCTTTCCTTGGGCTGGGAAGGCCCTGTGCCCTGCAATTATGGGCAGTCATGCTTTCCGTGTTTATAGCCTTTCCTTGGTAAAATGTAGTGTGTCTCCTGTGGCCAGCAGAAAGACTCGTGGCCTCCTCTGACGTGGACAGATGTTGGCAAGAGGCACACAAGTACACACACACACACACACACACGTACACAACACACACACGCCCTGCTAGCGAACAACCGTCTCAATTTCCAAAACTGCTGTTTGCTTCTGTACTTTTAAATATTCAAATGTATGTGTTTCCAAACAATTTGAAAGTTATTTTTTTAAATTCTATTTTAGATGACGTTTACATAGTCGATCAGGGTGGGACGGATCCAGGGTTCGGGAGAAGTGGATGTGATCATGGTTTCCAAACTTTCCATTTCTTCCCAGCTCTTGGGGGAGAGGCCATACCCAGCCTCCCAACCATCCCAGTACCCAAGGATGGGGAAAGACCACCCAGCATCAACCCAGGATCACAATGTGGGGCATGCTCCCAAGGTTTTAAAACTCTTTATCCTTTATCTCCCCCTTTGTAAGCTATGGTATTCTGTTTCAAAAATTTGTTTTTTTCTGGCATATGCTCTTTTAAAAAAAAAAAAACAAAATTTATCTTTGGAAAACACTGATTATTTTAAAAATTTTTTCTTTACTTTTGAAGTTTATAGCAAGAGAAGGAGGGACAACGGAAAGAAGAGAGAGAGAGAAAAAACAGAGACAAACTTGCATCTTCTGGTTCACCCAAATGGCCAAGCCTGGGTTGGGCTAGGCCAACACCGAGAGCCACCAGCTCCATCTGGGGCTTCTGCACGACTGACAGGGTCCCAGTTACTTAGGTCATCTGCTCCTGCTTTCCCAGATGCGTTAGCAGGGAACTGGATGAAAAGTGGAAGAGCTGGATTTAAAGGGAAGCTTGCATTGCAGGTGGTAGTTTTTAGCCAGTGTAGCACAATGACAGCGCCATTGAAACACTTGTTCAAAACTTATTTATTTGGAAAACTTTTAAACAGAAATGTCACAAGAATTGTGTAGTGAACTTGTATATAACTTTGTCTTCAACTCACAGATGTTTGACTTTCGCATACTCTTCCTGTGTCTTCCACATACGTCACCCCTACTTGTTATCGCCACTACGTTTGGGAGCAAGTTGTAGACATTCCGCTCACTGGTATCGATGCATCATTGAGTATTTCCTAAGGACCTAGCTGTTCCTTAGAGAACCATGGTGTAATTACCCAGGATAGAATATGTATCAATAGCTATTTTTAAGATCTCACATTGAGATTTCTCTGTCCGGGTTAGGCACTCTTGCCTGGCACGTTTCAGAACCAGTGTAGGACCCATGTGTGGTGTTAACATGGTGTCCTGTTTGGTCTGAGCAGTTGCTGCAGCTGCTGTAACGTTGACTTTGCTCTCCAGTGCAGTGTGGTTGCTTGGCAGTCCTTCCTTCTCGTTTCCCCTGAGGACCCCGCGGCAGGAGGCCCCCGTGCCCCTCTGCTCCATGATGGGGGCTATTCGTTTTGACCATTTGGTGAATGTCACACCTGCCAGGTTTCCTCTGAGAAATCCCAATTTGTCCTTTTGTAGTGAAGGAATATTCTGTGTGGAGATCAGCTGAGCCGGTGTAAAAATTCTTGCTCTGTATCTGACTGCAACTGCCTGGTTTTGGATTCTTTTAGTGTTTCTTCTCTAAATCATTTATTACTGACAGGATTGGGATGCTGTGTGTTACATCTTCTAAAAGTTTATATTAAGTGGGTTTGGTACAATGGTGACATTGTCCTTGAAAAAGCACATGCTTTCAAATGGAAAAATTCCAATCTTTTTCTCTTCAGAATGCTGGATAGTAGCGTTCCCACTGACTAATCAGTTCCTGGTGGCCTGGCACACCAATTGGTTGTGTCTGGTTAGTGTCTGTGAAGTGTCTGCCAAGCAAAATATCCTTGTGATTCGAGAGTGGTGTTTCATGGGTAGAATTTTTCTGCTGCTTTGTTCAAAAGGCAAGATTTCTTAAGTGAAGAAAAGTAGACAAGACCAAGACCCACGCAGCCCAGCCTGGGAGGGAGAGGGCGGGAAGCTACAGACCGCCCCCTCTGACCTGAGCAGCTGGCCCGTGACTCCCACCTTCCAGACCACAGCCCTCCCCGGTTGGCTCTGGGACTCCAGCCTGCTCGCCTCCCCTGCTCCCTTCTAGTACCTGTTTTGATGGAGCTACCTGGCATGAATTAGGATACAAATGGTGCTTTGCAAAAAAGATAAGGCGTTTCTCACAGTGTTTTAACAGGCGTTAAAGTCATAAAGGAAGTTAGCTGTAATTCAAAGATGCAATGAGTCTCTTGTGAGAGACAAGGGAGAGAATTCTTTTTTATTATCTGTTAGAGGTGTATGTATTAATTTGAAAGGGAGAATTACAGAGAGTAAAAGAGAGGCTGGGAGGAGTGTGTACCTGCTGCTTTATTTTCCAAATGGCTGCCAACAGCTGGAGCTAAGTCAGGCCATAGCCAGGAACCAGGGGCTTCTTCTGGTCTCCCATGTGGGCTAGCAGGGGCTTGACCACACAGGCCGCCTTCCCTGCTTTCCAAGGTGTATTTAGCAGGGAGCTGGATCAGAAGTAGAGCAGCTGGAGCTTGAACTGTTGCCCACCCAAATGGAATGCCAATGTCTCAAGCTGCAGCTTTACCCACTATACCCAGGAAGGGAGACTTCTGATATCCTGGTCATTGCTCCCCTCCTGCATCCATAGGCAGGCACATAGATGTTTGGATGGGTGGGTAGACAGATATACAGATACTTGGATGTAGGTAGAGAGGAGATGGTCGCATGTATGGGTGAATGATGCGTGTGGGGGTGGGTAGGTAAGAGCAGATTGTCCCCATCCCCTTACCGTTTGACACGGTCACCATTCATCTTTATTTTTCTTAGAAACTGTCTGGTCATCTATATACTTTCACCAAAAATATAAGAGGAGACCAAGGGAGCTTTTTTTTGAGCCTCTCGATTTTCTGTGTTTACATTGCTGAAGGATCAGGCTGTGTGCTTGATCACACGGATCTTGCACTTGTCTCAAATAGCTGGGAAGGTGATATTAGCGTAACTTCTTGTTCACCACTGCTCTTAGGAATCTTGAAGAAACAAGACTTTCTTTTTATTGGAAAATAATCTTACAGCTGTATCTATGAGGAATGACTGTAGCTCTGGCTTAACGGAAAACCTGGCAAACAGTGACATCAACAAATGAGGGTTCATCAAACATTTGCTTGTTCCATGCAAAGGCCCAGGGCTGGCCCTCCACCTCCCGTGGGCCTTAGGAATCCCAGGCTGGATTTTTTCCTCTTTTCTAACTCCCCACTCCACTCCCATGACCTGAGTGTGGCTGCTCCATCTTCTGAGTGGGAAGAGAAGCAGGGTGAAGGAAGATGAGGCAACAGGACGTTAGGCTAAAACATATCATTTCCCAGACTTTCCTAGAAACCCTCTCTGCACCAATAAGTGAATACACGCGTCTCTTCCCACTGCAGCTGTTCTCCACCTGCTTTGTGGGGGAGAGCATTCTCCTGGGTGCCGGGATAAAGTGATGAGCGGAACAGGTGGGAGCTGTGTGCAGCTTGCATTCGAAGGAAGGCTTCTGTCACTGGACAGA